GCGCCGCTCCCGCCTGCAATGCCCAGCTACCTCCCCCTCCCCCCCCCCAAATCATCGGCGAAAGAAACTGCGGCAGTACAACCACTGTACGACGAGTACGCGGTTATTACAGCTGACAATGATGATGAGTAAATAGTGAACCATGTTGCCTCAGTGTGTCAAGTTATCCTGTAAACTGACAACGAGCAGACAGTTTAAAATAATGCGTAGGGATATGTAAATATGAGAACTCGAACAAGTGAATGGCGGTAAGAATACCGTAGGAAATTGAATCAATAGAGTTGATAGGAATGCCCCGGATTGAAAAACAGACCACGGTTGTTCAAGAAAAATTATGGACCGCATGGTGAAAGTAATTCCGTTACAAATCTCAGAAGCAAGCAGGTTGGCTGCGGGTCCCAAACCACTGAAAGCTCTCTGTGAATGATCACGGTCCCATCAACTTCTGTTACTTCTCAAATCTGTCGAGATAATACCTCGTTGTCAACTTAAGTATCTGGTACGCTCTGAAATCGATTGTCCTGGGTTCGGCAAAGAAGGATGCAACAAGTACCGGGCGAGATGGCTCAAGTGGGTAGAGCGCGAATTTGCTGACCGGAAGGTCCGTGGTTTGAACCCGACCTCTACCTCTCAACCTCCCTTATCTAGGCTAGGGCAACCTAGCAGTATTCCAGTCCTCGTGCTTCCTTCGGGTAGAATGACAGCTAGGCGCCGGAAGAGTGTTATAGCCGAGCGAGTCACATCACTATCATTGAACGTGCTACCGTAGAATGACATCCGGCGGATTCTAAAGCACCTCTGGAACGGCGAGCTTCGGGTCGGCTCCAAGCGTTTCCCAACTGAGTGAGTATACCTGGGTTGGCCTAGAGTGCATGCTCCAAGGTAATGATTCACATCAATTACTAAGCCGGACGGAGAAAAAAAAGTTCTGAACGGAAACTTGAGAGTAATCCGAGCAATGCGGTACAGTTCAAAGACTGGATAGTGCACGTGTTTGCTCCAATCAGATCTGGTGCCATGTCTAACGCCCCCTTGCTCTCACCGAAGTGGTCACAAAGCGGTAGAAACCGTCCGATTCTAAAAGTCGTCTTGAATAAAAAACGATAATTGAAGGCATCAACTTTCATAAGATGACACATGTCATTTAGAGGGATGGGACAACAGACCTGCACGAAGCCGAATTCTCCGGCAGATTAAATGAAATATACAGTAGACTGGGGTAAAATCCAGCAACAACTAGAGCGGGTTCACATCGTATCGTGCTATACATAACGCACACAGACATACCCATGTTTTCCAAAATTACAGAAATCCAAAGAATCTTATGTACACCTGCTTTATTTTGTAGGAGACAACCGGCAGACTCATTTCCTCTGGAAAAAATCTAGCCGAAAAGAGTGAACCTGTTTTGTTGTTATTCACTTTGAACAAATCTATTTTAAACGGACAGCTTACGTGGAAACGCTGGTTTTCTCCGGCAGAGAAACTGTCCCGTGGAAAGAAGTATCAACTAGCACGAGATTGCAGCACCAGATACTTGTGACAAGCTATGGGTCACCTAGTGGCAAGAGGGGCTCGACAAATATTCCACTTATGGTTGAATAACGGTGGGGGTTGAGTGCAAAGGCTCAAGGAGTTATATTGACGCTTCGGGTATCAATGTTACTGCCCTATGGTTGTTCTAGAGAGTACGTCATCTGGAGTGATCCAAAAACATCGTGATCCGCTAATCTACGGTTCAACTGACAAACACGGACGAAGGGCTGATGTGTTTCAATGAGAGGGAAGTTCTCACTGTTTCCGAAAACGTAGTTGTTGGTTTGGAAAAAGTAAAAGGTGTAGATGACAAATGCCCCAGGGTTGTAACTTCATATGTACTGACCAAACACTCCACTTCTGTTCCAAACATCTCTCTACAAAAGTCACAAAAACAGAGTAAGCTATCCCCAAAAGCAGTCTTTCGTACGACAAACAAGAAAGGAAACGTAGGAGAGTACAGCACATAAATCCATAACGATATACAATCTAATATGACGCATCCCGAATCAATGGAACAGATACAGTGGAGAATCTTCAGCGTTGAACTTCGTCACATTCTGTTTCTAAGTGGCCTCGTCCCAAGAACGAATACGTGGGCTGATGGCTCTGGAAGCACCCTCGTGGCATACTTGCCGGTTCACACCATTGGATTAAAATTTGCAATGTTCGAACTAAGAACCTGAAGCTTACGTTTCATCAAAAGCGCTTTCCTTTTCCCCATTCCTTTTGTCTGGTTTTTGTTTACCGGGAACAGTTCTTGGAGAGTAAATTAAGGCTGCTGGAAATAGGGTACAGCTCAATAATCCAACATCTTGATCTGAAGTTTTAGAGAGTATTTACCTGAAGGCATCAAAAATACATTCAAAGGCATCTTAGGTAAGAGGACCGACTTCCCTCTCCCCAATTGCACAGGTACTCAGGACGACGGAATCCACATAAATCATACATTGAGGATGGAATCGTAGCTGTCATTGGGGGCCGAAAGGGAGAACAAGTTGTGCAACGAAAAATCCCATTTATCACCTGGACAAATTAGTTGGATAGTAACAACAGCAAAAACGTCAAATGTATTCTTTCAGCAGAATACTGTGAAGTAAACTCATCGAAAGAAGTCTACTCGACTGCAATCCTGCGTAGCAACTAACCTACCTTATCAGTTCAGCAATTCTAGCCTGAGTTGTTGGATCAAGTGGATCGGCGTTCATGACCAGATTAAGCTCCTCTCGGCGGCGCGTTTCTTGTGTACGCTGTGCTTCATAAACACGAGCAAACGAAGCTGAAATGGGGGATGAAAGAAGCCATATCACTCAAAATAATACTGCAGTCTGTCCATTTTTGAACAAAGGCCCCACTAATTCAATCAGGGTATCTAAGATTAACAGTAACAAGTTGAGTAACAAATGCCGCCCTAATAAGCAAAGTTCCACCAGAAGCTGTAGTACCGTTTCGGTGCCTAACTGCCATGCCATCCGAAGGAGGCACAAGGGCTGGGGTACTGCCAGGTTGCCCAAGCCCAGACAGGGGAATTCGAGAGGCAAAGATCGGATTCGAACCATGGGCCTTCCGGTCAGCAAATCTGCGCTCTTGCCACTGAGACATCTCGGTCCCCGAACAAAGCTCCGCTCATAACCAGATAAAAAATTAATCGCGCTAAACCATGTGATTGTTTTTATTCCTCAACCATGTTCCCCCTACTGAACACTATGAAACCCTGGCTTCTTTCGGGGATTATCAGTGGGTTCAATCTGCCGATGCGAGCTTAGGTACAGTACACAAATAATAACCCATGGCTGCTCAGTAGTATCAGGAAACGTCACGTTTCACTTTTTTATACAGTCCGTCGTAGAAACAATGGGAATGACATTGCCGCACCAGACTGGCCAAAAGGTGCTGCGACTACATTAGGGAGTAAGGACGTGATAGGTATCAGCTGAAAAAAATTGGCATCCCTAGTGCTGTATTAACCAGAATAGATACTTAAATGCAAGAATGATGAGCTCCTAGGGTAAAATTCGTATGTTGGATAGAATAAACACACTGAGATTCATTCAGAGAAATCTCTCATCAGATTGAGTCCCCTCACATAAGAGAATAATTTCCTGTGCTACATCTTCTTTCCCATTGAATCCTCTTTATAGAGAACAACTTACGTAAAAGAACGCTCGACCATAAATCAAATTATCCAAACAGGACTAGTTTGGCCATTCAAACTCCTAAAACCCGACTAATATCGTCTAGTTAAACTGTAACAGCTTTATTCAAACAAAAAAAAACCGAGACAACAGAAACGCAACGGTTTTCATCCATCAGCAGATGACGTAAGCACCCACTGGTCGGGACCAAGCCAGTGCTGATCAATGGCTAGTTTCACTGAGAACTCTGCGGCACTGCCACTAATACCCCTGCATTTAGAACAATGGTACGATCATGGTAAACTCTCGTTTTACGTTGGTAGGGTGCATATCTAACCGTTCACTCGCACAAGCTACGGTCGAAAAGTATCCGGAAAGAGAAACCGACCAGGTCACACGAACCTCGCTCCCTCGACCCTATGATTGATTGGTAGGTGCTGCACCTAACTACCCAGTTTCCTTCCCCCTCAGTAAGCACAAGATTCAGGAACATACTATCCAACAACATGCCAGTTGAAGAAATCCACAAACATTCTACCTTAGTTAGTAAGTTCGCTAACAAGACACCTTAGACACCTACCTGTCTGAATCAAATAGGAGTGAAGAAGTGCCTGATGTACACCGTCCTTGTTTATCAAAGAACCACGTTGAATGAATGATTAGCAGTGAACTCAGTGTGCTGGAGGTCATTAACAAGTGTTAACATGACAAAACTGAATGAAATTACGTCCCATAAGAAGTGGGTCGTCAAGCTAACATTACCAAGCAAAGGCTATGTGAAAGTAACAGAGAAAGCAAGATTAATCAAAACCTGGGTGTTCCCGAAAACCAGTACCTTGATCGTTAAGCACGGATGCAAGTTCTGGGTTTCGTTCACCTAGCAAAGAACGTAGATGTGGGGGTCCATTCAGAATAGTCTGACGAATCGTTTCAGCCTCATTGTTTGGTACGGGAGGTCCGGTGCCAGGAAGTCTAACAGATGAAAAGTCTAAACGTGGCCCACTTGGAGCGGTCTAGTTGTAAGGTAAAAATGAAAAACTCGACTTACACCCGGCCTTGAGTTTGAGGCTGGCGGAATTGATTGTTGAGCAGCAGGAAAAAGGATGATAAGGTCATCTTCTTTTAATCCGACATCCTTCAATTGCTTGTCTGTAGTAGGAAGGGGTTGACCATCCTTCATCAAAATAAACATGTTTTCTGGAGTCCCACACTCGACACTAACTAACAACTTGAGACCCGAGACTACCGTATCGTCTGGAACATCCAAAGCAAAGACATCCCCGTCAAGTGGTGTAAAAGAAAGCCGCATTGATAAATAGGGGATCCAAAGAACTGAAATGTCATTAGAGAAAGAAGTTAACACTGGGTTTTAGAGACTCGCTGAAAAATAGTGTGATTTACTTGCCTGATGTAAGTGACAACGCGCATTTTACTAACCTCACAAAAAGGGGACTCAAATCGGTCAGGTACGGAATTCTTTGTGTATACAGCTGGAAAAACTCATGACGAGTTGATAGTAAATGGATACACCTTCAGATCGTTGATAAACATTCTTCAAACTATATCAATACTTCGGAAGCATCACTAATCAAATTCTGACCTAAAGCTTCCGCTTTGCTGTGATGGTTGGGCCCTAGTACCCTGAAGAGTCTGAGAGCTACACTGGCTGGAATTCAGCTTCTCAAGGTTCAACCATGCCAGGAGAGCCAACAGAGAGAAGACCGACTAAAAACAACGAGTTCCGTACTATCAGAAATCGTATTGCGAGGCGGTCTGGAAGAAAAGTCGTACTATCCTGTGCCACAGGAGCGTGAAAGCAGTAAGGTATTCCCTTTGGGGCGACCACCACGTATATATTTATGGAAGCGGCGATGCTGTCTTTTCCTGAGAAAGGACGGGTAGGAAAAAGTTAGCCATAAAAACTGTACACTCCGGTCGCTAAATAGTTGTTGAGCATGACCTCTGGCGCATTACTCAATACGGTCGAAATACTTTAAAAAGTCAAAGGGTTTCGTGCTGTTCGAAGGGCACCCGCCATGAGTAGCGGCTTAAGGAGTCAGTCCTGTCTTACTCCCCGCTCCCTCGGACTAGGCTAGTCCGCCGCAGCCAAGTAAGTCAGACTATTACGTCATTTGCTTCGACAAGGGTCGCTGAAGAAAAGCTTAACCATCGCAGCTTCCGCAGTTCGAACTCCTAAGACAAAGGCTAGAGGCATGGTCCTCGAAAAAATACTACATTAGCCGCAGCCAAGTAAGTCAGACTATTACGTCATTTGCTTCGACAAGGGTCGCTGAAGAAAAGCTTAACCATCGCAGCTTCCGCAGTTCGAACTCCTAAGACAAAGGCTAGAGGCATGGTCCTCGAAAAAATACTACATTAGCTCACTGAATTGTAAGTCGGGCTTTTGAGCCAAAGGCTCAAGGTGGGGTATCTCAGCCAAACCCCCTTCTTTGGACTGGGCAACTGAGAAGTATCACTCGCTCTCCCAGCTCCCCGCTGACCTGCCCTCCCCCAAAACCCCTTCCCAACTATCGAAGGATGCATTGCGGTCAATCCATTTGCCAGTTCCCTAACCATTGCTACGGGTCCAAACCATAGCTCAGGGAAATAAACCAAAATAAACCCTTACTAAACTCAAAAGATCCGATCTACGTTGCAGTCTTCAGTGTCCATAATCTCTTTCAAATTGGGCAACAGGCATCTCTCGATGAAACCTTGCTTCCTCTCTCTAAATGTATGTTGTGTCTCCGAAACATGTGTACAAGACCCCACTCCGTCCATGCACCGAACTCAGACGCTCCACATTTCAATCTTTGGGTATCTGGTGAATCCGACAAAATGACTCGAGTTGTCTACGATGTTGGAGTTGCAGTCAGTCGCAATACTGAAAGCTCTTCACTGGACTGGATCCCACTAAACAGTCTCCTTTGCGCTGCAGGCCATCTAGTTCAATTAAGGTCAATGCAAGTCGATTGGACGGATGGTGCTTATTTGTTTTTGTCAGCATACGCCCCGATAGACTGCATTTCTGAATCTGAGGACAGGTTTAATGGAGATCTGTCGCAACTGATTCGGCCAACAAGAAGAGATATGGTAATCCCGCCGACTGATATGAGTGCCAAAATCGGACGATTAAGCCAGGAAGCACAATTGGATGGTAGGTTAGGCGCGCGGACAATGAAGATAATGGAGGTGATGAGAATAATGGGTTGGTGGGGATAATGTTAAGCAACTGGTCCAGTCGTGTGCCAATCGCTGTGTATTCCTAGACAGTAAGGGATTCCAGCACAGACGCTCACATCGAGTTACTTAGAGGCCACCAACCGTGAGACGGTCGTGGGCTCCACTGGAATATGTGGCTATCAGTTACCGATGGAGGACCTTAATTAGGGAGTGTCGTTCCTTCAATCAATTGGAAAATGTCTGCGACCGATTGGGAAGACATCGTTCCAAAGAAGCTTGGTAAACAATCGGTGGATTTATCGCTGGACAATGCTTCGCTTTTGAAGCAAAGGTTCATATAGGTCATAGAGCCAGGGAATTGCACACCAGAATTGATGAGCATAAAGGATGCCTTAACAGACTATCGAGAAACGTAGATGGCTATCAGGCGATAGTCAAAGATTTGCCAATGGCAGGGCACAATCTAGACACTGGGCACAAAACATATTTGGAAAATCTGGAGATTCTGAGACGGGAATTAGGATTGACACCACAGTGACTAGTGGCCGAGGCGGTGGAAATCGTCAGGCATCTCAGCGTGAATAGAATAGAGGGTGTAGAACTGGCAAGCGTGTGAAAAGCTATTTTAGATCAGCCGAGATGACACGAGGCGGTGTGCAAGACGGTTATTAGCATCATCATCATCAACGACAGCAACATCAGTGTCGCCACTGATGTTTCACTGCCGTACAACCATAAGGTTTGTCTAGTCATATATATATGTATATAT